CAGGTTTGGGACCAGCCCCTCTACTATTTTCCACGTGTAAATTATTATGTATCTCTCCCGCCTGCGCTCAAGGGAGTACAGATTTAGGCTCTTTAGTCGGTCCCAGTAATTTAGATGTTTTACTGAGTGGATTCTAGCAGTAAAGGATATCTGCACGCTCTCCAGGTCAGCAATTTCTCCAGCTTTGAAAGGGGCTGTCATTGTGCAGCAGTACTCCACTCTAGAGAGCACAAGCGTTTTGAAAAGTGTCATCATCGGTATAGCATCTCTAGTGTGAAAAGTTCTTGTTATCCAACCTGTCATTTTTCTTGCAGTTGTGACGGCTACTTTATTGTGTTCTTTAAAGGTAAGGTCTTCCGACATGAGTAAACCCAGATCCTTTACATTGCCTTTTCGTTCATGTAGGGCATACGTAAATCTGTGTATCTATGTATTTACGTATGTAGGTTAGCTTAGCATTTTAAAAGCACCTAATCACCTTCTGTGGTTGATTGTTCAATAAATCCCTGAACTATATGTTTAACACATCTCTCACCCTGTCCATGGAGGATAGAAGAAAATGTATATATGCTGGTTAGCATTGTAAATATGTGGTAGAAAATAATAAAAAATAAATCCCCAGAAGGCAGCCCGTAGCAGCTGTCTAACTCCCAGGTACCTGTTTACTGCTAGGTGAACGGAGTAACAGGGTGAAAAAAACTGCCCATTTATTTCCGCCTCCAGCGGGGATCAAACCCGAAACCTCAGGACTACGAATCCCGAGCGCTGTCCACTCAGCTGTCAGTATGTTAGTCGGATGACCAATGTCGGAAAATCCGACACCATTTAATATTACATACAGGCAGATAATATTGCTGCTGTATTGTATACACAAGTTACCCATAGAAAATGTAACTTGTAGTGGAATTTTCCGTCTATAGAAAACGGGATATCATTGCCACATACTATTATAAATTCACCAGCTATTCTGCTGGGAATTATTCTTAAATACATTAGTCTCTGGACTTTACCATCATAAAAACATCTCATATAAATTAACTTAATTATCAGAATTAAAATAAAGTAAATGTGGCCCTTCTATCACTTTCTGATATCTGGACAATGTAGGCCAGGCGTCAGTAGTGAGGAGGGAGTGGTCAGCCATTATTGTTATTGTTTTAAGACCAGCGAGGCGCACGGGAGCAAATTCGGCTCCTGTTAATTTCTCTTGGACGAAGTGTTATGGAAACCAAAGGTGTACCATCATCAACACGCTGTCAACAAATACAAGCTAAGTGTTCTGCCGAAACCCATTTTTGGCCATTAATGTCAGTAGATAGGGTGACCCAGTTAGAATACGAAATCGCCTCATACTAAAGGTAATTAAGCCTAGGTCTTTATGGCTCAATGTACAGTGTTTTCTCTGATATAGCTGTCATATATTAGGATTCTGGCTTCATAGCTAGTGCCCTTTTGACAGGTCAAGACGAGGAAGCATGCTTTGTGTATCAGTTACCAGGGTGATGGAAGCTACCTTACACGAGGAAAATTTGGTATCTACACCCTAGTTATACCTGGTGGACTAAGGCCTGCTGTACAATAAGATAAGGAACCTCTTCAATGTTTAACAATATATGAAGTTTAATACTGTAGTTTGACTGGCTGCATATATATAAATTCAGTATAAACCCCCCCCCCCTAATGTGTAGTGGATCGATTTGTGAGATTATTGCAGAAATACAGTCCACTTAACATCATGCAAATTGCTATCGAAGTATATAAATTAACGTAAATATAAATTCTATATAAATTCATATAAATTAAATAAATATAAATCTCACAGGTCGGTTCCCACAACCAAATACGCGATAAAGTACCTAAATTATTGGGATCGTCTCAAAGCCCTCCAAATGTACTAACTAGAAAGGAGACGAGAGAGATATCAAATAATATACACCTGGAAAATACTGGAGGGCCAGGTCCCTAATCTACACAGTAAAATAACAACATACTGGAGTGAACGATATGGAAGAAAATGCAGAATAGAACCAGTGAAGAGCAGAGGTGCCATAGGCACAATCAGAGAACACTATAAGCATCAGAGGTCCGCGGTTGCTCAACACCCTCCCAGCGACTATAAGAAATATTGCCGGAACAACCGTGGACATCTTCAAGAGTTAACTAGATTTATTCCTCTAAGGAGTGCCGGACCAACCGGGCTGTGGTGGGTATGTGGGCCTGCGGGCCGCTCCAAGCAACAGCCTAGTGGACCAAACTCTCACAAGTCAAGCCTGGCTTCGGGCCGGGCTTGGGGAGTAGAACAACTCCCAGAACCCCATCAACCAGGTATCAACCAGGTAACTATACATATCCCAAGTCTAATGCTTGCAGTAGTTAATTTTTTTTTTACTTTTCAAAAATGACTGCACGATATCGCTACACCAAGGCCGCATAGCCTAATATCAGTCTCACGTAGGTGATATATATTCAACCCATCCTCCAGAATGATAGTACAATCTGTGATTGTGAGGACAGAAGGCCAATCTATGGAGTGTGTCAATAAACAAAAAATCTAAATTTTTATACTATTGGTAGTCTAAGGGGTCTAACCAAATGTATCAACGCAACCTAACCTCTTCTAGGGACTCTATAAGAAATCCTAGGCCTAATACACGCATTCAAAGGTCTAATGTAGTACAGTAGGCCTAAAAATAAGGTCAGGTTAAGGTATTTCCTTCCTTTTTCAGGCCTTTCACGAAAACAGCAGTTTGAAATGTAATATTTTAGACACTGTACAATCCACTTTGTGTACATGTACTACACAGTTGCCACATCTACTATCATGTCTTGAGGTTACAGTCTAGCTACCTTCTCCAGGCTTGTATGTGTCCGTTGACCAGACCATACACTAGAAAGTCAAGGGACAACGACGTTGTATGTGTCCCATGCGTGCCTGTGTACTCACCTAATTGTGCTTGCGGGGGCTGAGCTCTGTCTCTTTGGTCCCGCCTCACAACCGTCAATCAACAGGTGTACAGGTTCCTGAGCCTATTGGGCTCTATCATATCTACACTTGAAACTGTGTATGGAGTCATCCTGTGTCTCCATGTATCTGTGTTATAGATTAGATGTCCAAATTATGGGAGTTTCTCTGGGTGGGAAGGGCTAGGACAGCGTCCAGGTCGTCAAGGCCTGCAGGAGTAAAGACCAACAATGCTTTCTGGCTGGATAACATTTTTAGATTAATCTGTGAAGCTTTTATCCACACCATTGAAATTATTATTTACATTTGATTTAATTGGTATTGTTATTAAATGTAAGTAATTTGGAACTGTTGACTTGTCATTAACAACTCACCTTTTTTTGCGTAAAATCTGTTGAATATTAATTTCTATATTTGAGTATTGACTTGTCTTGGAGTATGTTGTAGATTCAGCTAAACACTGAAAAAGGCTCACTATTATAAGAACATAGGTTGACGGTTGACATGGGACGGTTGAGAGGCGGGACCAAAGAGCCAGAGCTCAACCCCTGTAAGCACAATTGGGTGAGTATAAGAATAACGGCAACTGCCAAAAGCCTATTGGCCCATTCGAGGCAGCTCCTATTTATATCCACCCAATCTCATTTATATATATATGGCTAACCTACGCTTGAAACAATTAAGGGATCCTACTTCTACTCGGAACAAAATTTCCCTGTAGCACGGGCTATAGTGAGCCCGTAACGCTTTGAGTAATTGATTGAGAGTTGATGGTAACTAATTATATAATATTCTGAAGCTTATGACAAATCTCTACTTTCGAACTCTACTTCGGAAAATCGGGCGCCTGACAGCTGGGTGGACAGGGCTTCGGACTCGTAGTCCTGAGGCTCTGGGTTCGATCCCCGGTGGAGGCGGAGACAAATGGCCAAAATGTTTCTTTCACCCAGATGCCCCTGTTACCTAGCAGTAAATAGGTACCTGGGAGTTAGACAGCTGCTACGGGCTGCTTCCTGGGGGTGGAGGCCTGGTCGAGGACCGGGCCGCGGGGACACTAAGCCCCGAAATCATCTCAAGACAACCTCAAGATAGGATTATGTATTTTAAAGCATTTGAATATTAATGATGAATCCTTCCTTAAATATTATATAGTGTAAATGTTACAGTGCAATAAATGCATATATTTTATAGTGAGATTGAACATATATTTAACGCTTTCCACTATCGTAAACAGTGGAAAGTTTACCACCTATGACTACAAACACACACATGTTTATTATGTATATCATCAAACTCAGTCTTTTTGTTTCAATCTATTGGATAAAGAAATATTTGTATAACCGTAAGTTGTCTTAATGTTTGATCCCCTAGAGACACTCACTCACTCACTCACTCACTCACTCACTCACTCACTCACTCACACACACACACACACACACACACACACACACACTCACTCACACACTCACTCACTCACTCACTCACTCACTCACTCACTCACACACACACACACACACACAGACACACACACACAGGGGGTGATGTGGTGGAGGCTGACTCCATACACAGTTTCAAGTGTAGATATGACAGAGCCCGATAGGCTCAGGAATCTGTACACCTGTTGATTGACGGTTGAGAGGCGGGACCAAAGAACCAGAGCTCAACCCCCGCAAACACAACTAGGTGAGTACAACTAGGTGAGTACATGAAGAGAGGTAACGAGTGGAGTACCTTAAGAGTCGGTACCAGGGCCCATCCTGTTCCTAATATACGTAGAAGATTTAACAAAGGATGTTAGCTCATTCTTACCCATGTTCACTGACGATGCTAAGTTAATGAGGCGAACCTGTGCTGTTAACAATCTCGTAAACAATTTCCAGAAAAGGTCTTAGAAATGGCTACTGGATTTCAACCGTAAAAATGCAAGGTCATGGGGATAGGAATTGGAGAAAGAAGCCATCAAATACAGTATAAGGTAAAGGGAAGGCAGGTTCCAACTTCTGGAAAAGAGGAAGATTTTGGAACGAGGGCAGCTTACCCTATACTCTTTGTGAGACCTGCTGTGGTCTCTGTGAGACCTGCTGTGGTCTCTGTGAGACCTGCTGTGGGTCTCTGTGAGACCTGCTGTGGTCTCTGTGAGACCTGCTGTGGTCTCTGTGAGACCTGCTGTGGTCTCTGTGAGACCTGCTGTGGTCTCTGTGAGACCTGCTGTGGTCTCTGTGAGACCTGCTGTGGTCTCTGTGAAACCTGCTGTGGGTCTCTGTGAGACCTGCTGTGGGTCTCTGTGAGACCTGCTGTGGGTCTCTGTGAGACCTGCTGTGGGTCTCTGTGAGACCTGCTGTGGGTCTCTGTGAGACCTGCTGTGGGTCTCTGTGAGACCTGCTGTGGTCTCTGTGAGACCTGCTGTGGGTCTCTGTGAGACCTGCTGTGGTCTCTGTGAGACCTGCTGTGGTCTCTGTGAGACCTGCTGTGGTCTCTGTGAGACCTGCTGTGGTCTCTGTGAGACCTGCTGTGGGTCTCTGTGAGACCTGCTGTGGGTCTCTGTGAGACCTGCTGTGGGTCTCTGTGAGACCTGCTGTGGGTCTCTGTGAGACCTGCTATGCTTCCGAGTGCTGTATACATCGTTTGTGAGAGCGGGTAATGAGTATGCTGCCCCGGCATGGAACCCCTGACCTAAAGAACACAAACCAATACCTGTCTAGAAGCGATCCAAAAATGTGCTACAAGGCCTCGATCCTGAGCTAAGGGATTTGAGCAATGAAGAAAGACTAAGGGAACTGGACCTCACTGCTCTGGTGGAAAGAAGGAATATATAGACCAGACATGATAACGACGTACACGATACTAAAGGGGCTTGACAAAGTAGATAGATATAAAAAAAAATATTCCAATTATGGAACAGTAAAATGAAAGGATGGAATTGGGAACTGGAAATATAGATAAGCCACAGAGATGTCAGAAAGAATTTATCAATCTATATAGAGGACGAAGTTGTCGAAGCCAGTTCGATGCCCAAAACCGAGTGAAGTGAGTCACTGTATTGAACATATGAGGGTCAAAATGTGGGGCTTAGGAGCTGATATCTTGACCAGCAAGCACATATAGATGAGTACAAGTTGGTGAGTACACAGTATTGCCAACCTGTCCTGTCTGGCATACTCCAACTCCCTGCCTCCCTCTCTGCCTCCCCTGAGGCCAGTATTTTGGTTCCAAGTTCATAAATACATTTACCAAGTCATTTGATGGCATCCACTTACCTGGCGATCCAATGACTGTGAAAGCTAGTCCTTGTTTGATGATGATAATTCAGTCGGTAAATGCTGAATTGGTTGTTCGTTTAGACTCGTGTTAGCTTAAGTGCACTTTGGATCTAAAGTGTCGAGGCTGATGATGTTACCTACTGTCTCCTAGCTCTTTCTGTCTACCGCCCTGTCTGTCTCCTAGCTCTTTCTGTCTACCGCCCTGTCTCTCCTAGCACTTTCTGTCTACCGCCCTGTCTGTCTCCTAGCTCTTTCTGTCTACCGCCCTGTCTGTCTCCTAGCTCTTTCTGTCTACCGCCCTGTCTGTCTCCTAGCTCTTTCTGTCTACCGCCCTGTCTGTCTCCTAGCTCTTTCTGTCTACCGCCCTGTCTGTCTCCTAGCTCTTTCTGTCTACCGCCCTGTCTGTCTCCTAGCTCTTTCTGTCTACCGCCCTGTCTGTCTCCTAGCTCTTTCTGTCTACCGCCCTGTCTGTCTCCTAGCTCTTTCTGTCTACCGCCCTGTCTGTCTCCTAGCTCTTTCTGTCTACCGCCCTGTCTGTCTCCTAGCTCTTTCTGTCTACCGCCCTGTCTGTCTCCTAGCTCTTTCTGTCTACCGCCCTGTCTGTCTCCTAGCTCTTTCTGTCTACCGCCCTGTCTGTCTCCTAGCTCTTTCTGTCTACCGCCCTGTCTGTCTCCTAGCTCTTTCTGTCTACCGCCCTGTCTGTCTCCTAGCTCTTTCTGTCTACCGCCCTGTCTGTCTCCTAGCTCTTTCTGTCTACCGCCCTGTCTGTCTCCTAGCTCTTTCTGTCTACCGCCCTGTCTGTCTCCTAGCTCTTTCTGTCTACCGCCCTGTCTGTCTCCTAGCTCTTTCTGTCTACCGCCCTGTCTGTCTCCTAGCTCTTTCTGTCTACCGCCCTGTCTGTCTCCTAGCTCTTTCTGTCTACCGCCCTGTCTCCTAGCTCTTTCTGTCTACCGCCCTGTCTGTCTCCTAGCTCTTTCTGTCTACCGCCCTGTCTGTCTCTTTGTCTGCCTTCTAGTGTCTCTCTCTCTCTCTCTCTCTCTCTCTCTCTCTCTCTCTCTCTCTCTCTCTCTCTCTCTCTCTCTCTCTCTCTCTCTCTCTCTCTCTCTCTCTCTCTCTCTCTCTCTCTCTCTCTCTCTATCTCTCTCTCTCTCTCTCTCTCTCTCTCTCTCTCTCTCTCTCTCTCTCTCTCTCTTTCTCTCTTTCTCTCTTTCTCTCTTTCTCTCTTTCTTTTCTCATATACATATGGGATAACCATTCAGAGTTCAGACTTTGAAGTTTCAAGGCTGTGACAAGTATGAGTGTTGAGGGAGTGAGGTGCTCGCACTTAGTCCCATCCCTGAGTTCCAGGCCCCATGTCATGTCCCAAGCTAGTGGACACCACCACACACCTGTCTGCTAGGCCTTGGCTCACCACCACATCCTGTCTGCTAGGCCTTGGCACACCACCACATACCTGTCTGCTAGGCCTTGGCTCACCACCACATACCTGTCTGCTAGGCCTTGGCTCACCACCACATCCTGTCTGCTAGGCCTTGGCACACCACCACATACCTGTCTGCTAGGCCTTGGCTCACCACCACATACCTGTCTGCTAGGCCTTGGCTCACCACCACATACCTGTCTGCTAGGCCTTGGCACACCACCACATACCTGTCTGCTAGGCCTTGGCTCACCACCACATACCTGTCTGCTAGGCCTTGGCTCACCACCACATCCTGTCTGCTAGGCCTTGGCTCACCACCACACACCTGTCTGCTAGGCCTTGGGACACCACCACACACCTGTCTGCTAGGCCTTGGCTCACCACCACATACCTGTCTGCTAGGCCTTGGCACACCACCACATACCTGTCTGCTAGGCCTTGGCTCACCACCACATACCTGTCTGCTAGGCCTTGGCTCACCACCACATACCTGTCTGCTAGGCCTTGGCTCACCACCACATCCTGTCTGCTAGGCCTTGGCTCACCACCACATACCTGTCTGCTAGGCCTTGGCTCACCACCACACACCTGTCTGCTAGGCCTTGGCACACCACCACATACCTGTCTGCTAGGCCTTGGCTCACCACCACACACCTGTCTGCTAGGCCTTGGCTCACCACCACACACCTGTCTGCTAGGCCTTGGCACACCACCACATCCTGTCTGCTAGGCCTTGGCACACCACCACATACCTGTCTGCTAGGCCTTGGCACACCACCACATACCTGTCTGCTAGGCCTTGGCACACCACCACATACCTGTCTGCTAGGCCTTGGCACACCACCACATACCTGTCTGCTAGGCCTTGGCTCACCACCACATACCTGTCTGCTAGGCCTTGGCTCACCACCACACACCTGTCTGCTAGGCCTTGGCACACCACCACATACCTGTCTGCTAGGCCTTGGCTCACCACCACATACCTGTCTGCTAGGCCTTGGCTCACCACCACATACCTGTCTGCTAGGCCTTGGCTCACCGGCACATACCTGTCTGCTAGGCCTTGGCTCACCACCACATACCTGTCTGCTAGGCCTTGGCACACCACCACATACCTGTCTGCTAGGCCTTGGCTCACCACCACATACCTGTCTGCTAGGCCTTGGCTCACCACCACACACCTGTCTGCTAGGCCTTGGCACACCACCACATACCTGTCTGCTAGGCCTTGGCTCACCACCACATACCTGTCTGCTAGGCCTTGGCTCACCACCACATACCTGTCTGCTAGGCCTTGGCTCACCACCACATCCTGTCTGCTAGGCCTTGGCACACCACCACATCCTGTCTGCTAGGCCTTGGCACACCACCACATGCCTGTCTGCTAGGCCTTGGCTCACCACCACATACCTGTCTGCTAGGCCTTGGCTCACCACCACATACCTGTCTGCTAGGCCTTGGCTCACCACCACATACCTGTCTGCTAGGCCTTGGCTCACCACCACATACCTGTCTGCTAGGCCTTGGCTCACCACCACATACCTGTCTGCTAGGCCTTGGCTCACCACCACATACCTGTCTGCTAGGCCTTGGCTCACCACCACATCCTGTTTGCTAGGCCTTGGCACACCACCACATACCTGTCTGCTAGGCCTTGGCACACCACCACATACCTGTCTGCTAGGCCTTGGCTCACCACCACATACCTGTCTGCTAGGCCTTGGCTCACCACCACATACCTGTCTGCTAGGCCTTGGCTCACCACCACATCCTGTCTGCTAGGCCTTGGCACACCACCACATCCTGTCTGCTAGGCCTTGGCACACCACCACATACCTGTCTGCTAGGCCTTGGCTCACCACCACATCCTGTCTGCTAGGCCTTGGCACACCACCACATACCTGTCTGCTAGGCCTTGGCTCACCACCACATACCTGTCTGCTAGGCCTTGGCTCACCACCACATACCTGTCTGCTAGGCCTTGGCTCACCACCACATACCTGTCTGCTAGGCCTTGGCTCACCACCACATACCTGTCTGCTAGGCCTTGGCTCACCACCACATACCTGTCTGCTAGGCCTTGGCTCACCACCACATACCTGTCTGCTAGGCCTTGGCTCACCACCACATACCTGTCTGCTAGGCCTTGGCTCACCACCACATACCTGTCTGCTAGGCCTTGGCTCACCACCACATACCTGTCTGCTAGGCCTTGGCTCACCACCACATACCTGTCTGCTAGGCCTTGGCTCACCACCACATACCTGTCTGCTAGGCCTTGGCTCACCACCACATACCTGTCTGCTAGGCCTTGGCTCACCACCACATACCTGTCTGCTAGGCCTTGGCTCACCGCCACATACCTGTCTGCTAGGCCTTGGCTCACCGCCACATACCTGTCTGCTAGGCCTTGGCTCACCGCCACATACCTGTCTGCTAGGCCTTGGCTCACCGCCACATACCTGTCTGCTAGGCCTTGGCTCACCGCCACATACCTGTCTGCTAGGCCTTGGCTCACCGCCACATACCTGTCTGCTAGGCCTTGGCTCACCGCCACATACCTGTCTGCTAGGCCTTGGCTCACCGCCACATACCTGTCTGCTAGGCCTTGGCTCACCACCACATACCTGTCTGCTAGGCCTTGGCTCACCACCACATACCTGTCTGCTAGGCCTTGGCACACCACCACATCCTGTCTGCTAGGCCTTGGCACACCACCACATCCTGTCTGCTAGGCCTTGGCACACCACCACATCCTGTCTGCTAGGCCTTGGCACACCACCACATCCTGTCTGCTAGGCCTTGGCACACCACCACATCCTGTCTGCTAGGCCTTGGCACACCACCACATACCTGTCTGCTAGGCCTTGGGGACCTACAATGCCTGGGTTCCCAAGGTTGCAATAGTAGCAAATGTTTCAATGAACTGAATTCATTTG